GAGCCCTGTGAGGAGGGGGGGGAGGTACAGGGGAAAGAGGAGAACCAGGTGCAGTAGCTAGGAGGCCCAAAGGTACAAAGAGGGGAGGTAACCAAAATGGTTGGATTATACAGAGAAGAGTAGCCCAGCCCTCTGGGCTGGAGAGTTCAGGGTAGGAGTTAGGGTATGCCAGCCAGGAGGGCCTGGTAAAAGGTAGGGACTGAGGAATGCTGAGAGAAGCTGGAGGCCAAGTCTGCTTTGATATGTTAAATAGGCATCGCAACCATTTGTCCCAGCTTGAAACCTAACAAACACTACCTATCTGTCCCCATTCCTTTGTACACACAACTTGTGGAATGAGAGGTTCCTGAGGACTCTTTGGCCTATCATACAGTGGCAATAACTTACATATTAAGAACTCCAGAGAGAGGCACCACCTTGATCCTGTAGTGGCAGCACTGATGGTCCCTCTCTTCTGGAGGCCTGGCCTTGATTTGACTTGTGCTTGGCACCACTTCCTGCCCATGCCTTTGCCTCTGGCTCCCTTCTAAACTCTCTGGTTAATGAAGCTGGCTCCTTGAGGCTCAGACTTTTTTCTTTTTTAGTCCCTTTCTCTGGGTAGCCACCTCAATTATCCTTCCAGTATCTAGGACTCCTTCTCTACAGAAAATTCCTGGGTATAGCAGTATGTTTACATGAGCTTAAAGATAAAGCTAAACCTGGGTTCAAATTGTTGCTCATCCACTTCCTACATTTGTCAGTCAGATGAGAATGAAACAAGAATAGTGCTTTGCATAGAAAAGGTTCATAACAATCCAATAGCTAACTATCAAAAGGAGTTATCTTCTTGCTTTTATGGATCAGCTTTTCCATTACAGGGTCCCTAATTTATATTTTGAGGGCTCTTCACTCATTTCCATGTCCAATCTTATCTCCCCTGTCCCTGACCTCCCACATATGCCACCCCAGCCTCCCAAGGCAATCAGGTATCAACTGGACCCCTTTCAGGACTCCTTCCTACACTTTTTTCTGTTTCAGCCGTAGCCGGATTCCTGAGGAACCCTGTTTAGTTTTTAGCTCTATAGGTAGCTACACAGCAAAACCTGCCAATTGTCCCATTACATAAACTCATCTAAACACCACTGTCTCATCTCTGGCCAAAGCGAGCATCTCGCAGGCTTCTGGCACTCTGAAATGAGGAACATGTCCATGGTTTGTTTCTGCCTTTAGAAACTTTAAATGTCTTTGGATGCAAGTCTGAAACACTCCTTGTCTGAGTCCTCATGCCTTTCTCCTTTACTATCTCCAAGGGAGCCACACTCTTTCTGGTTCAAATGTTTCCTGTAGTGGACAGTGGCCATCTGCATCCACCAGGACATCCATTTACTTTTCCTCCCTGGTACAGCTCACATGTGCCCAGGAAAGCAGACCAAGACTGCTTTAACAGATAATCAACAACTCCTTTTTCCCACATGCCCAGCCCAAGTGATTACACAGGATTCAGTTCTGACCAATAAGAGACAGCATTTATTTGCTGGGGCATCTGAGATAGAAGCTATGGTACAGAGAGAAAGTGCTCCTTGCTGGCAGCAAATGAAGGGTTTTGATAAAGCTGCAGGCAGCCACCCTTTGATCCTTGGAAGTAGTAGTAAGGATGAAGCAGATCCTGGAGAATTCAGAGGGAAGCAGGAAAAAAGCTGCATGTTTGGTGAAATTGTTCATCCACTGCCAGTACTCCTGGGCTTTTTCAGTTTTGTAATCCAGTAGGTTTCCTGTGTTGTTAAACCAATTATTGGAAACCCAAAGCAGCCTAGCTTATTAATCGAGTTCATTTTGGTGAAAACTCTCACATGCAACTTTAGTGTTATATAATTTTCCAAATACATTCCCTGACTCAAAGTGAACAAGAACATTGGTAAGCTTATTATCTGAGCTGCCAGTCCATATATGTGCTCACAAGCAGGTCCCTGATGTGGTACCCCAGGTCTCAGAGAGAGACCTCAGGGTCTATCAGCTGCTCATCCCCTCAGGCCTCACATCAGTTTATCATTCCATTATGGGGATTCAAGATTTGTCCCACAAGGCCTAAGGCCCATGAAGATGGCCCTTGAACAAGAAAGGCAAGTGTAGCCCTGACAACATTCAGAGTGGCTTCCTTGGCAAGAGTGGAGGGGCAGGAGTAGTGTCCTGCAGGTGGCTATCTTCCAGCCTCAACTGCTCCCAGGGGGTCCTCCTCAAAGGAGCTAGTACTTACATGACCTTTAGCACCCAGGCATAGGTATAGTGAAAAGAAGAATCACTGTCTTCATCTTACATTTCTATCTCCTCCTTAGCACCCTGAGTTTCTTCTTAAGCAATGAAGGTGTGCAAAGTAAAAGCCCCTGTACACAGGTGGCAAAGGAAGCATCCGTGGGTGAGACCAAGGCAGAGTCCTAGTTGTGACACTGCTTTGTTGAGTCACCTGCTGTCCCTCATGGATGAGACCCACTTCCAGAGGAGCCAAGCAGATAGGGTGCCCCCGAGAAGAGCTATGTCATAAAGGCCCAGGATACTTGCTTGGCTACCAATTCACTTTTGGCTTCAGTTTGCTTACTGAACACAAGGTGGAACTGCAGGTGATGATAGCAGAAACTCCCACCTTGAGCTGGAAAAGGGGGAAGGAAACTTATTCAGGCCAGAGGAGTGGCCATCATTTAACAGACTCAATGGATGGGGACCAAAGTGGCACAGAAACTTGACTCAAGTCATACAATGGAGCTGGGGTATCTTTCTGACCCTCTAGCCCCTAACCTTGTCATTTATCAAGAGCACACTGGCTGCAGCAGCAGAGGGGCCCTCGATGGCTACCACTTGGCTTCCTATGGAGATTTGCCAAGGGCTATGCCAGACACACTAGAGGGCAGGTGACAGGGACTAGCGGCTTCCTGAGGGAGTCATTTGAGGGTGTATGCTGAGTGGGCTAAATGGGAATGGTAAGGCCCATCCCTCAAAACAGCACACTCTTTCTCCTACAGAGGCACTTCTACGGCTGGCTAGACTTGGACTCTGGCTGTCCCAAGCCATTGCTAGGTGTCTCTACAGTGCAGTCTCAACTGTCCTGTGGGAGGCAGAAGAGAACTCAGGCCAAGTACTTTGAGTAGTGCCTAGCACCTAGCAAGAGCTGGGTACATACCAGCTATTATTATCACTATGAGCCAAACTGCGACATGAGAACACATTTAATGCAACATGCAGCTGTGGCCTGACCTGGGATTTCTCCCCCCCAATCCCAGAATGCTATTTGGAGAACCCTTTTTCCATAGCTTCAGTTACTTCAGGGTGTAGAAAGCGGCTGGCCAAACGTTCGATGTCATCCAGTGTTAAGCGGCTCAGGGACCTGTCATAATCCTGAGGAGAGAAGACCAGGTGGGTTTAGGGGGTACTATCTGGAAGGGGTATGCTGTAATAGGGCTGGGGCTAGAAGCATTGACTGGAGGTCCAGCATTACTCTTCTCACCTTCTGTAGTTGTTCCAGGACCCTGCTGGCATCTGCTACACTGAAGTGACGGGCCAGGACTTTGGAGATCAGCTGCCAAAGGGGTGGGGGAGGTGAGTCGACCCGTCTGTGGGTAGACCCTTCTTCCAGTAGCACCTTCTCCAAAGGTTTAACGACTAGGTTGAGCTTAGAATTGGGCCCAATGTTGTAATCTGACAGTCGTTTCTCATCTGCCAAAGAGAGATTGGTGGGGTTCCTTCCTCACTGCTGTGGGGGTGGCCGGAGAGCAATTCTGCCACAGCCAGCCAGAGTGAAACACTGCAGCATCTGGCTATGGGGTGGTGGGGTGGTAGTGGCTCAGCTACTTTTCCGAGGCCCAGTGGCAGCCAGTGCCCTAATCCATTACGCTGGCCTGTACATCCCGTCCCCCAACTTCCAACTTCCTGTGGGGCTCCCTAGGCGGCTCCTTTCCCTGGTTACCTGCTAGGGCCTTGCCCTTGAACAGCAGACGTTGCTGGCGCACAGGGACATTCAGCTTATCCGAGACAAGGTGCTTCAGTGTAGACACTAGCTCGTCCTCCGGCACCTGATCCGGCCGAGGTGGAGAGGCAAGGGCTTAGCCCGAATTCCCTGGGCGAGGAAGCCCTCGTGCCCTTTCTTGAGGTCAGCTCTCCCGGCTTACCCCACCCGCCATTGGCCCCCAGCGGCAGGAGTCTGTGAGTGAAGCAGTATATAGGGTGACCTTACCTGTAGGCTGCACTCCCGGCCCTGGAGCGCCTTCACGGTCAGCTGCATGGTGTCCACAGCCGCGTCCACTAGGGCCAATGCAAACCCCAATGATCCCCTGCCGCGCGCCGCCGCCCTGGGCGCGCGCCGGAACCGCCCGCCGCCGCCGGAAACAGTGAAAGGGGCACGCCTGCCGCGTGGCTCCCGCCGTCCCTCAGTCCCGCCTCCGGGCCTTCGCGCCTGCCGGAACCTGGGGTAGAGTCCTCCACCCCCAGCCTACAGTGAACCACCAGCGGCTGTGGTGCAAGGAAGCAAGGAACCTGTGGGGCCAGGCTTGCTTCACTTGGGAGCTGTAGCTTGAAATGAAGGACCAGGATGTCAGCTTCATGCAAGGCCTGGCCTGCACTAATTCTTATGCTCTTGGTGGACCCAGTTAGTGCAAACACGCGGTGGTGTCTCTCAGATACAGAAATGGTCTATTCCTACCTGCTATCATAGCCCGATCGTTGGCTTTCTGCTTCTTTCTAATCTGGCTGCAAAAATATCCTGACTGAGGCTCCGAAGGCCTCCATCTCCTCACTCATTATAGAACAGAGGCCTGCCCTGTTGGGGAGGGCTGATAGAGAAAAGCCTTTGCAGATATGGGGATACAGCTCAAAGGTACAACACTTGTCTACCATGTTCAAAACAGGAGTGAGAACACAGTGGGCTCTGCAGGGTCACCAAGCCTGTTCACCATCCTGGCCCATACCAGTCCAGACACACTCTACCTATCCCCATCCATAGGCTCCAAGGGACAAACACTGGAAGGGACCCAAGCTTGCTTTTGTCTTTTATTGAAATATATTTATAACTCAGCGTGGCCTCTTTGGCACTGAAAGCTGGGGAAAAAAGAGTTAAAAAAAAGCCTGGATTTGTTTGAGTGCATAGTGAATGAGAACTAAAGGCCTTTGGTACATAAGAACTGTGGGGACAGTGGATGGAGTATGGGGGCTGGGGTTATAAAACTTGATCCAGAGTCCTCAGGGAACAGGAAACAAGCTGCTGTAGATGAACTGGCCAATAACCAAAGCCAGCATCTCAGAGGTACCACTCAGTGCCACAATGAAGGGGGCCTGAGAGGCATAGTCTGCTTGAAGGCGGCGCAGAGACAGCTGCAGCATGGCTAAGGCTAGCAGGCTGTTTTGCACCCCTACCTCAATGCTGACTGTCCGCCTCTGGGCCACTGGCAGCTTCAGGCACATGGCCAGGCTATAGCCTACCAAAAGGCCAACCAGGGGCACTGTGAAGCCCACCAATATGATGGGTAACTTGACTCCCACTAAAATGAAGACCCCCATGTGGTAGGCTAGGAATAGGCCACCAAGGAGAAGTACAAAGCTGAAGGGCTTGATGATCTGTAGCAGCAGCTCTGAGAACTTGGGAAGCTTAGACTTGATCACCACACCTGCTGCTATGGGGATGGCAATGAACAGCAAAGTCCCCAGTATCTTGGAGATGGGCACGTGGAGTGTTTCATGGATGCTGAGAAGGTGGCTGTAGATGGCTGATGAAAGTGGCAAGAAACCTGTGGCAGCTACTGTTGAGATGAAAGTCATAGAGATGGCCAGGGTGACATCTCCTCCAAGGAGGAGACTGAAGAGGTAGCTCCCCCCACCGCCAGGTGATGAGCAGGTAATGATGAGGCCCAGAGCCAAGGCCTTGGGTAGCATGAAGACTTTGGCCATCAGGAAAGCATAGAAGGGCATGACCAGAAATTGGCCCAAGAGGCCCAACAGCATGGGTTGGGGGCTCTGTAGGAGCTCCTTCAAAACTTCAAGTTCCACTTTGCACCCAAATGAACACTTATTGACAAAGATAAGAGGCAGGAGCAGGTAGAGGATTGGGTTCTCTGAGAAGTGGCTCAAGTTGGGATTGAGGGTAGAAGGGATGTCTTCAGCAGGTGACACTTTGATGCAGAAATCCCTTCGTTCTTCAATCAACAAGGGTGGGGCCTCATGGAGGTCCATGAGCTGGAGGTGGAGTGGAGCCAGCCCAGCCAGACCTGAGTGGATGTTCACCACAAAGCCACCCCCACTGCCCCAGGTTATGGCACTCACATTCTTGATGGTCAGTACCTCTGTGTCCAGGGATATAACCCTCAGTGTGGGACTAGGGCCTGTCCCATTGGCCTGTCCTGAGTACTGGCTAGAGATCACAATGATACCCTCACTCTTTTCAGGGAACTCAAACTCTGTCACTGAGCCATCTCCAATGCTCAGATAGTGACCACTTGTTAGTGGCATGGTGTGGCCCAGAGCAGTACTGAGGTTGGCACTGGCCATCACTTGGGCCCCCCATGGCAGGCTGATGACCAGTAGGGCAGCTCCGAGCATACCTAGGAGACCTGTACAACCACCCTGTCCTCCCAGGCCAGGCAACTGCTGGGAGTTACTTCTGCTTCTCTTGACCACCATGGCACTCCAAAGGATAGTGTTCACAGGCCCCTTGTGTCTTAGGGGAATACCCTTGCTTGTGCTGTTGGAATGTCCTGAGAAGTATCCATGAGAAGGTCCTGGTCCTGTGTGGTCTTCCTTGATAGCAGGTCTTTTCCTGAAAAGAGAAGGGGCAAAGACAATAGCTAATGAAGAGGAAAAACTGCAAGCTCAGGAGCATGGGGCTCTCAGAGAACCTTTTACTTCTAGTTTGTGGATAGTGCTGGTCCTTGAATGTCATTCAGCCATCTCCTCCTCCAGCACAAGCTTCCTCAAGATTCTCAGCCCTCGAGATTACCTACATACAGGAAACCCCAATCAGTCTGCCAATTCTCTGGCCTACTATGGTGACCCTATAGAAATGTTCTAGCGCTGAGGGTTTTAGGAGAGCAATCTTTAATCTTGTCACCACTAGCCCATTCCACACTGGTTTCAAGATGCCGTGATAGCACTATAGGAATGAACTAAACTGCTTCCTGGAAGGACTAGGTATTGTGGCTCACTGCTGTCATCCCAGCACTTGGGAGGTGGAGGCAAGAGAATCAGGAGTCCAAGATCATCCTTCAGTTACATAGCCAGTTCCAGGGCAGTCTGGAGGACTTGATACTCCATTTCCAAACAAAGAAAATCAAATAAAACTGGCTTCCTGGAGGGAGACAAGAAAACTAGTCAGATGAGAACAAAGAGTACTGATTGGAGATGGGCATGGTGGTGCACACCTTTAAACCCAGCAGCACTCAGGAGGCAGAGGCAGGTGGATTTCTGTAAGTTCGAGGCCAGCCTGGACTACAATTGAGTTCCAGGACTACACAGAGAAACCCTGTCTCCAAAAATGAAGAAAAAAAGGGTGCTGATGGGAACACTGCCTTGGATCTATCCAGGTCTTTTTTTTTTCTTTTTTTTTTTTTTCTTTCTTTCTTTCTTTCTTTCTTTCTTTCTTTCTTTCTTTCTTTCTTTCTTTCTTTCTTTCTTTCTTTCTATCTATCCAGGTCTTTTTTTTTTCTTTTTTTTTTTTTTTTTTCTTTCTTTCTTTCTTTCTTTCTTTCTTTCTTTCTTTCTTTCTTTCTTTCTTTCTTTCTTTCTTTC